ATGAAAAGCTTTAATTTGGTATTTCAGAATGAACCGGTTTCACAATAACAAGGACTTTGTACATTGAGCTCCCCTGTAAAGAAGCGCCGTGTTGAATGAGTGCTCTGTCTCAAAAATAACACCTTCTTTTGTTGGAATGTCCGCGAGGCTTTCTGACGACATACAACATAAGTCTCTGTAGCTCAGAGCTTCATGTTCTCTAGATGTCTTGCAAAGAAGAAGGAAAACTAGTAAAAAACAATAAACTTAAGCAACTTTGGGTTTAGATGATGTTTACCCGACTTTAGAGTAATATCCTATTGATTTGTCCAAAGCTTCGGTCACCCGCAGTATTACTTGGCAAAGGAGTCGCAGCTGACTGGAATCCACTTCTTGTGTAACTGTTGGCCTTCCACTATTGACACGTGCTGGGTGGGATGCGGCTGCTTTTTCATCACAGGGGGTGAACATTTGGGCTAAAGGTGGGAGATCAGTAGTGTGAACGAACTGGAATGACACTTTGTCTACTTGATACTGTGCTTAACCATCCTGGCTGGTTACAGAGAGCCCCAAACACAAAGACATTGTCCTGTTGTCGTTCACAAATTGTGTCAATATGGTTTAGAAAAGGTTCTACACAATGCAAGTCAGAGAAGACAAACCATTTAATCAAACCAGGCCGTTTGCAAAGCTATGATGCTACGCCAGGCACACAGAGACACACTCAAACACCTCTGCTGCTGGTGTTGGTTGGCGTCGGATCACCGGCTCCGACACACTACGAGTCCCACGGGGTCGCTATGGCAACTAGGGCCAAAATAAAGCAGCCACCGAGACAGTGGCGGGAGCAGCAGCCCTCGGCTGGCATACGCCAGCGTACGCAAACACACAACCCCCTGTGGCCTTGGCACCTAGAGACGGACACAAAATGAGCTCTGTCAGAGGGAGAACGTGAAGGAGAGAGAGGAGAAACAGAGACGGAGCGGCGCAGGAGGGGAAGAGTGTGTCCTGGAACGACCTTGTTAGCTGTGCTCGCTGCTCAAATGAGGACTTATTTAGCAGCCGCTCTCACTGGCAAGAACCCAGAGCTTCTTTTAGTCTCTCCTTCGCTCGCACACACACGCACACACACACATTCACCGGCCTTGCCTCAATGTACTCCCAGGGGCGGGGCTCACTCACTATGTGTGTGTGTGTGCCGTCGACCATGACCATACCAAGGGGCAGACAGGCCGGCTGTTCATTACGACGCAGTGTGAAGACTGAAGCCTCTCCTCTTCCTCCTCCTCCTCCTCCACCTCCTCCTCCCCAGAGCCTTTGCTAGTACGTTCCAGGAGCTCAGCGAGAGGCTCTGCAGGTCCAAGCTGGCACCTCCAAATGCTGATAGTAACAGAAGGGCTGCGTGACGACAATTCTGGGGCCTACGCAGAGAGAGCTGAATACACTGGAAAAAATCAAAATCTTACCAAGTATATTTGTCTCATTTCTAGTCAAAATATCCCATTACACTTAATATAAGATACAAATGCCTACCACATACGATTTCAGCAAGATATAGGGACTTGTTTTAAGACAATACATCTTGAATATCTTGTTAAGTGAAAAGGTCTTGAAAACATCTAGTTTTGAGTCATATGTCATATGAAACAAGCTTTTTAAACTTTTGAAGAGATTTTTAAGCTGCTGTGTTGTTTGCAAAAGATAAATCATCTTGTTTCAGAAATTAGACTTTTTTGATTTAAGAAAATATATCTTGTTTATAGGAAATCCTTAAGTTTCAACGGATTTGGACGAAAACTCATAGTTCTGGAGTCTCTGCTGTTTGCCTCATGGTGATCACAAGACTAGGGATTCCCAGAATGTTGAACTATTCTTTCAATCAAGTTTATCAGCATCCACAAAAATATTGGCTTGAGCTAGGTAGGGAACTTGTACCTCATAAGATAAATAATGATCATTCCACTCATTTATAGAGAGAGGCTGGCATTCAAAACAATACAGTGAAGAATTTACTATGTAGATGTTTTTCACAAGTCCAGACTCTGGAGTACTATTGATGACATTACAAATAACCAAAGTTTTCTCACATCTACACTTATTTCCATGTTGCATTATCCACTTTACCGAAACTATATGTTGAAGGTTCTGTATTTCTAAGAAGTCTTTAATCTTTCCTTCTACGTAGTGAACATTTTGAACCTCAGAGACTGGGCCGATATCAACTTGACTTGAAAAAATTGGATGTGTCTCATGCACATTCTGACTACATTCATGCATGCTCTTTAACAAAACCAGCATCTGCCCTGCTGACTGTTTCAGTTTATTGTCATTTGATGACAGTGTATTGACCGATATGGGGCAAGGCTTATCTCTTACATCCAAAAGAGAGTAAAGGATAACAATAATTGCACTGTTGAATGCGTCTAACTCCATATGCTCTGAAAGCACAAAATGGTTTAAAACACATTTGATTTCATATGGGGCAACACCTTCAAGAATAATATGCATGATGTCTTGTGGAGTTTGATTATATCAAAGTGAGGAAATTCTGTTAATTTGCTTCTCCTATTAATACCATATAATACCAAGATTTTCTTTCAGAAAGTCAGTGCTTGCTTTTTTAATGTCTCTACATTGTCGATATGACTTGTCATGGTCCTTTTAACAAACAAATCTTCATTAAATTGCTCCTGCATGTCGTCAAAAGTTGCATTCAAGTGTCTGCATTTACTGTAAGCAAACCCTACTCCTTTCTTAAATCCAGCCACTTCATGTTGAGCTAGAGTGTCTCCACACACAGTCATAAGCGCCCCAAAAATTGTCTTCTCACCATTTGCAGTGACAACTTTTAACACTATCATACAGCTCAATCAAGTCACAATTAATGCTCTCAAGCACCTTATCAATACCACAATCAGAAATATCTTTTGATTTTACCATGGCAAGCAGACGAATGGCAGCAAGTCTTGATCTGTATTTAGGGTTGATGTTACCTAAGGTGTAATAAATCAATAACAATTTGTTTTTGCTTGCCCGAGATCCAAGAGGATTGCACAATTCAATTTCATTTGTATATAAAATGAATTGCAATGCTGTGGGGACTCTCAAAAACAGTGGGTGTGATTTTAAAAATGTCTCCATCAATACAATCGTGAAAAAATCCATCCCGGCATGGCTGTGGCCCCTGATCAATCATTGCAAGAACTCTTGGATGCATTAACAGCTGTTCCAAACTTCAACAATGGTATATAATAAAAGTAATGGTGTTCAATGGTAAGAACTCTCATAACATACCGTATTTTTTTATATAATCGTCTCTGGTTCAACTGGCTGTAACAGTTATTTGATTGTTTTATCCTGCAAATGTGTTGTAGCGATTTGACTGAAAGGGTCATTAAACTGGTCAAATACTCCCATCACATCACTCTTCAGTTGACCAAGGTCCCCAGAATGTGTCTGAATCATGTTATGTTATACACTCATATAGTCACTAGGACAGCCATCAATGCCACACACTATGCGAAAGTCAGGGCTGCGACTGTGTAAAGAGTTGATGTGACTCAATGTTTTTCAGTGTAAACGCCACAAAAATGTAGCATATGAAACAACGGCAGATCATCTTGGAGGAGCAAGGTTCCTAACGTTAAGGCGAGTGCAGCAAGCCAACACGTTATATCCAGCCCGGGAGAAATTACCGGTAGTTTATCAAGTTCTTATTTAGTTATCTTTACAGAATAATTCATCTGAAATGGGCAACAATTTAGTCAAGCTATACACAAATATAACACATTCCTAAAAACACTCAAAAACTAGTTGTTTTTAATTAATTTGAAAAAAATAATTAATGCCATAAACCCCTGTTTTGTAAATGGTAGCAGTCTACGGCTCAGCAGTGGGAAGGCTGTCCCGCTATTTTACGTTAGTCCTCATTAAAGATTAAACAAAAAAGAGAGAGGACCCACTCCACTACTATTTCCGTCTCTGAAAAACAACGCGTTTTATTCAAAATCTGAGCATAATACAGTGAGCATAATACAGTCACTAGTTCTTTGAAGGAGTGAGACGTCTTACTCGTTTGTCGTGTCTGTTGAAAGTTGGGCATGCGCAGTACGGAACACAGACGGCTCACTGGAGGTTACAGGTGCGTAATTAAGCTGCCTCGTCCGAGACGGTTTGAATTCATATTTCATTGCAGGTTAAGTTGTATCGAATATCTCAGTTTTTTTAGTCCAATACATTTTAAATATTATATTTAATATTATTTGTTGTGTACACTGTTGCAGCCGAGCACAAGCTAACGTTAGCTAGCTATCTTGCTAGCTAACGTTAGCTAACGTTATTTAACTTGCTAGCTAAAACTGCTAACAGCATGGACGAACTTGATGACGTCACGGTGTCGACTTTAAGAGGTAACGTAGTCAAATATACATTTTTAACGTGGTTATTAATTTTTCGTCATATTTATTATGCACCAGTAACACCAAGAAAAATCCCTTTTAAGTAAAAACCTACTTTGCAATACTTATGATTCATCAGAGAGGTTAAGATCAGCTACATTTAAACAGATTAAGACTCGCAGTCCTCTCTATAAAATCGGTAGTAACTCTTAATTCTGAACAGATTTGAATGGAATGGTTTTATTATAAATTGGATAAATTTAACTTTATACTGGTTACGTGTTTCAATTAAATCCAGTTACTGGGGTGGATCTACTCTGTTCTATTATACTAAAACATTCGGAATAACCACAACTTAAAATATAAATTATTTAGAATGTATGCTTTTATGAGTTTCTAAAAAATGTAGATTGCTATATACATTCAGTAAATTTGAATTAAAATTGCTTCAGAATTAAGAGAGTTACGACTGATTAAAATGTTTAATTTACCACTCTGATGTGATGCATAATCCACTGAGGTATGTCATTTCTTTATCTATTGTTATATCATGTGTATTTACATTTTTTGATGATGAAGTTCATTCATTTTCTGCTTGTTTAGTAAGTATTTATTTAACACCATAAGGCAATCACTAAACCTACCTTCATTATCACTAAAAGGAGAATATTAACACAAACTATTTAGGATTATTGTTATAACCTTAGTGGAGTTGTCAATGCTGCATCACAATTTGTGTTAAGACAGTATAAATTAAAAGTTGCTTTTACAAATACTTAATTATCTTTTATTTTACAGGAAACTGTAGACTCAAAATCAACGAGCAGTTCTACTTCTATGATTGGGTCACCCCTATCTCAGACATCCACTCAAGTAAAAAGATGTCCCGCAAAGCACACAACACCTGAAAATGTTGTGAAGTTATCCTTCCCCGAATATGTATTGCACACTGACACCAAACTAGAGCAATGCCGAAAACAATATTTTGAGTTGGCGAAGGCCGGCGAAGAGAGAAACTGCCAAATGTCAAAGGACCTCAGATGTCGGCTCATCCGAAACACCATGACCAGTATGATCGCAATCCTGAGGGCAACGGGGGACAGAGACAGATACCCGTCAAAGCCAGAAATAACAGCTATGGCAAAGCGAACAGTGCTGTACTACCCCATGCTGCAGGACCGAGACCTGAGCAGCAAGTATGCATGGGTAGGTCAAATGCATCCAGGTGCATGTTTGATGTTTGAAGCATTTATTTGAATTTTTCTTGTCACAGGTTACTGTGTACTCACAGCTATACAAAAGATTGAAAAATTTGAGATCACCCCAAAAGACCAATCCAAAGAGGCGCCGACTCGAGGAGCTAAAGTGCCAACCTGACTGACCCAGATGAATTTGATTCAAGTGACTCAACAGTCATTCTGGATCTCCCCTCAAAAGGGGGTAGCATTCAAGCATTCAAGACTTCCCTTCTGAAGGGAGTAGCACCCCAGACTCGGGCAACAATGCCAGATGTGAGTTCTAACATTACATTTACAAATTTACCATTGTGTGGTGTTCATAGTTTACACTTCTTTTGATTGGAAGACTAATAAACTGGAAAACTCAAACTAATTGCTACCATATTATTTATAAAGTTACCAATTTCTATGAATTAATGCCATGTATTTAATTATGTATATTTCTTTCCTTCATCTAAGATGCCCGCATCTTTGCGTAAGAAGAAAACTCCAAACCGTGAGTCCGTCTCTCAGCTCCTGGATTTGGAATTTTCAGCCAGAAGAGCATTCATTGATTCTTTTTGCGAGGAGGACAGACACAAGAAAATTCCAGAGGACATTGGACATGTAAGTCATTATTGACTAAGCATAATTTAAAACATGGCACCACACAAAACAATGTCTTGTATGCCAATTTCTGTATCCTACCCAATGCAGTCAAATGTCTTTATTTGTATGTTGGATAGGTGATGGAGGAGCTTCAACGCATTCTGGACAAAAATAACATCCATTACATTGATGAGCTGAAGGGAAGATGGGACGACTTCTGCCAGAAGGTGCAGTTTTTTGGTGTGTGGAAAAAGCTGCTGAAACCCTCAGTAGGAATGGACAAAGGTAAGCAATGATGTTTGATGTTATTAGGGTGGACATTAGGCAGGTTTATGTGCTAGTGTCTTCTTTTCATCTGTGGTGGCTATCGCATGATTTGTGTAACTTTTTTTGTATTTTAGCAGATGTTGTAAACTGTTGGTCAGATTTGACCTTGTATTACACATATTATCCTCAACAATTGAACAGGCTCTCAGTATCCTACGTGTGCTGCCTTCATTGTCCCCCTCTTCATCTGCTCCTCTGAAGAAGTTAGGACATGTGAGTGAGGCTCTTGTGCATGTCCTCGAGGTAAGCAAAATGAATGCACTACTTGGTTAATAGTTTTTATTGACCTAGTGAAGACCTAAAAAGACTGGCCTAGCCCAACAAATGTAAATACATTTATATAGATTCAAATACAGTGTGTTAAGCAACACAATGTTTTGCAGTAGACCCACAGACACATTCTGATATTCTTTATATCTGTGGTTCTAAAGCTTCTTAGACAGTGTGCCACCTCAGTAAATATTGGACTCCTCAAGTACCACTAAAATCACTGATGTAAAAGAAAACCATAGCTCCTCCTCTGAATTTTTCTTTATCCTGATGGAAAGATGTCCATTTTATGTGTTTAAGGAAAAAGAAGACCCCAATGACTATTTGAAGAAACGTCGTCTCTCCTGCCCAGTCCTTATTGTGAGTTTGTCCAACTGCCTCCTGGCTGTAGGAGATGTGCTGATAACTACGCTCCCAAAAGACAAGGTAACACAGGGTGTTTTATACCTTACGGCCTACTATTATGCTCTACACCTTACTTACCCCAGGTGCGTAGCCACTCTGCTCTCTGTCATAAAAACGGAGGTTCTCTTGGACACAATCCATGAGCGAGACCTCACACCATCTTTCAAGAAGGGCATGGCTGACTGGAAAGCCTTTGTTGGCAAGTAAAGCCGTTTCCATTCTTATTTAGCAAATGTTTCCCAATGTTAAGGTCGCAATAATAACAATGTTGTTGATCTATTGAGGGACACAGTGGTCAAATATTTATGTTAATGTTAGCCCAAGACCCATAACTTGTTGCAATAATAAGCACATTGTAAGTGTATTGAGGAGACAGAGGTCAGATGATTATGTCTGACTGTAATCCATGTGTTACACATATATGTCATGTTTTGCTATGTTTTTTTACTATTATTAGTATTTTATTACAGTGCCATACACACTGCGCCAAAACATGACTGGTGCTGCAGGCACAGTGTAACTGACTGACTGCACTGTATTGTAAGAATTGTTTGCTCCCTCCTGCATTTCAGAGCTAAAGAGGCATGCTCTTTCTTATGCAAATAAAATATTTGTTTGTTTAATGCACAACTTGTTTTCATTGAAGTATGCGTTTGTCTTAAATTTAGAACAGTATCACTATTGTAGAGCTAACATTAAGTTAAAAGCACTTGAATTTAGATTAGTTATGATACAAAAGCACTTCTTATGAGTAAAACAATGCATAATATGAGTATTTCCAGCTAACTTCAAGACATTTTTTATCCTAAAATGCTTAAATAATCACTTTTTAATCTTATTTCAAGTTGGTGGTGGTCTAAAATCTAGGACAATGTCACTATTTTAGAACTTTAAATGAGTTAAATACACTTGAAATAAGAGGGATGCCATGAACAGTGAAAAAATAAAAAGCTACTTTTGAGCATTTCAAGCTTATTATGATACACAACACTTTCTAATACTAGTAAAATATAGCTCAAAATAAGTTTACCTGGCTAATTTCAAGATCAATTCCTATCTCAAAAGTCCTAAATATTACATCTTATTTCAAGAAATCTTGACAAGCCGATTTTCACTAGTTCCATTGGCAGATTTTTTTGCTTATTTCAAGCAAAAACGTCTCGTATTTGTTGTTTTTTTACTTATTTTTGGAGGGGCATTTTTTCCAGTGTATTTCCACTCTGGTCTATCTTTACTATGCATGGTAGCTACAAGTGTTACAGGTTGCCGTGGTTTGTACGTTTCGGATATATATTCCTTTAAATTAGATGAGCTTGGCTCGGCATTAAAAAAATAGTTCTTAGTAACTCACTAATCAACACGTTTTGTCCCATTTGTTTAATCCAAACAGCAGTTTGCAGCTTTTTTCTTCGAATACATCAGCTTAACCCTATCAGGCACGGCTGCGGTCGACCACGAAAACACATCCTTTCCTACGTCCCAGTGAGCCTTGATGAAGAATATTGCATGTTGAATGAGAAACGTACAGTATGGTTGAAATGCTTTTGCAGATGACTCAGCGTGGTGCCACAGTTATGGTGCCAGTGGGAATAGGAAGTAGACTAAACATATCAGGCCGCATATAAACAGTACATTCGTCATTGTATATACGTGCATCATAATGTAAACATTACCACAGCTGTGTCGGGGGAGGACGAGAGTCCAGCGGTGCTTTGAAGCAGCATACCGCCAGTCAGTCCCAATGAGTCATTCCGCATCGCCGTTTCAAGCAGACGTCTGGATTCAGAGGGGCCCAAGAACCCTCACTGTTTTCAAATATATGTACGCTCGCGTGGGCAACTAGCATCTGTGTTCTATAGGGCTCAGGATCCACACGTGGACTATAAGTAAGCAGCGGGATCCCAAGATGCCGAGGCGGGGCAGCTGGGTTTTTAATACATCCAAGCGTGTGACAAATATAATCGTATAGATGTGAGACCAATGTAAGCTGGGGACATACTGTCATGTGATCCAGTGGGATGGCCCTTAGAAGGCTTCCTTGCTCTTAACGCTCGCTGCAGCGAGGATCCAGTAATCACGCGGATGGCTTTACATGGGAGTTATTGGGATTCACGCGTCAGTGAACCAACCAAAATCGCAAGAGCAACAAGAAAATCATTTGCATAATGTGGCGTCTTAGGAAGGTGAGAATTCCTGGCGATGCTGTCATTACGCCCGCCTGTCACTTGAAACCAGTGAAATTGTGCATCACACTGCATCAAGCTTCAAAGAGCATGAGACCCTGATGGTTTGAAACAGACTTTTAATGCATCCAACTCCCCCCCCCCCCTCCCAGCCACACTCTTATACAGACACACACACACTCACACAGGCAAGAAAATCAAGTGGCAAGTCCCCAGAGAGCTGTCGCGTCTTGTGGCTGATCTCTGGGCCCTGACACACGACACACATCCCGCTCTACCTTTGGTACTGTAGTGTAAGGCGAGCTACGAATATCCATGGCCATTTTCTAGAGGTGGCGGTGTGGGCGAGCTGCGGTTTGTCTGTGTGTGTGTGTGTGTGTTGGGCCGTGTGAAGGGGTGTGAATTCCTGTCCATATCTTTTGGCCCAGTGTTCTCGCATCACTGCCCTTTCCTTACGATGAAAGCAACCTTGAAATGATCTTTGGATCACGCCTTTCACGTGTCCGCAGGGCCCGCAAAATGCTCCCTCCCTTCTTTTTTCACTCAACAATAAACACACACACACACACACACACACACACAGAGGCTATCCCTCAAGGGGCTGGGGTAACATGATGACTGGGCTAAACAATCGGTCAAGCCTCCCATTTCACACATTGACGAGAACACGAACGCTGCTGCCAAGAACACAGCAAAGTTCAACCCTTTGATAAACTGCCAGTGCTGATAGTACTGAACACATCGCAGCACGAGCACAATTCTCTCCCATATCTTGTGTTGTGTCAACGCTACACATCCCCACCCTGCGTGCATTGACAGCACTAATTACACAACCTCAAGTTGCAGGGTGATGCGGTCCAGCGTTAACACATAAATGAATCCCCTGTGGGGCACCGGCCTTCTGCTCATACTGCGGTCACTTTAAGATCGGAGCATCAGATCTTTTTACTAGATCATTATTGACCCGGCGAGCTTGCTTTTCTCACGCATCACACATAAAGAGAGCCTCCCGATCCCAATAAACGTTTGATTGTCTTTGTCCACGCGTTGTCGGTGTGTAAATGGGTTTGAATGTGCGTGATCAGGCACGATTCCCCACGGCCCGCGCGGAGCGCCAATAAACATTTTAACGGTTGCCAATCTGCTCCCAACTGTACTGGCCAGCCGTCCCAGTCACAGCTGGAAAGAGGGGGGTGTGAGGGGGATTGATGAGCCTACAGCCTGCTGAGACTGGCAGGGAGCTGGGTCAATTTCCCTCTAATGGCCTCTCATACAGTAGCCTTAATGAAGAAAGATGATGCACAGAGGCACCGGGAAAATAAACCGCAGGGAGGAAGTGTGTGATGAATGTGATTGAAGCGCGGAAAACAAAAGGCGCATTGGGTATCGATTGGATGATTGTTGCGTTTTTTTTTTATTTTTTTAAACAAAGCCACTCAAAGTGATGTCAATTGCGGCGCCGTAAATAACGCGGGTGAAACAGCTGACAAGCGAAGCGTGACGTGACCTTTCGCCTCCATCTGAGCTTTGCACAGGCCAAAGGGTGCAATTCGCTTCCATCTCAGCTGCTGGTCCTCTGGTCATGCAGAATCCGTGCCAGGCTCGGTTCTATTGGAGCGCATGTGACCGACACACGTCATGGGGCTGTCACGTCGTTGACAGGTCAGGTATGGGCAGAAAAAGAACCATTCCAGGTGGTCACGTTCCAAGAAATCCATTTCTGTGATTGCAGTATAAGTAGTCTGTGTGGGAGTAGATTGCCTGTGTTGGTCTAGCATGATGTGTTTGACACGTATGAGTTTGTATAGTTGACCTTGTGTACACGTGTGTATTGAGGAGTATTCAATGCACAGCGGCCCCAGTGTTGTTTTCTGTCTCTTTGACTCACATTTGTCTGTACATGACAGGAGAAATGCCTGTCTGTCAGGGTCAAAGTGAGAACCGCCACACTAAACGATGCCCGACTGATTCGTTGCTTCCTCGACTGGTCAGCGATTATTTGTCACTTGCAGAGGTTGAGGACGTGTTGAGCTGGTTTTAGCGGTTTCCCATCCCATTGAAGCCATTTGAAATGTGGGTCTTCACATTCACATAGTGTATGTGCACGGTTGGACTGAGAATATCCCTTTATGATGTTGCTAGTGAAAACTAATGTTTCAAAACCTCACAGCCTGAAAGTCGAAGACGGCAGGTCGTGACCAGCAGGTCGCCAGTTTAAATAAAGAAGAAATAATGACTGAGTCATTATAATGACTGAATGAGGATTGAAAAGGACAATCCTTCTGTTCTTATTTGAACTTCCCTTGAGCAAGGTGCTGCAACTTTAATATTTGCAATCGCTTTCTGTTACTCTGCCACGCCAAACACCACAGGCTCTATATGTATATTTGAATTTGCTCATTTGCGTCATCTTACTTTCTTAAATAAGGGTATAGTCATAACACACATCATCATGATGCATTAACAGACACATTCAGTGTGCATGCACTTTGGTAATGATGCCATCAATAAAACCCTCACCGACATAAACATAAAAGGACAACTTGGAGTCAGCCAGCTAACAAAAAAGTCAAATAAATTCTCAAAAGCACAGATTTGATAGCAATGCATACACTTTTTTTGTTTCCCTTTGTCAACTTGGTGATCTGCAACAGCTGCAGTGGTGCTGTATAATTCACTAGGAAAGAAAAACTTATGGGTGTACAAAAGCATGGTAAACAGCCTTTTCTCCCTTGGTTTGGGATGTATAGTTTGATAAAGGCTAGCAATAGATTCGTATGACTGTAGTTGTAGTGCCGTGATATTAAGCTTGCCAGGTTCAAAGGCCAGTCGGCCCCCTCATTCTTTCCCGGCTTTCAACACGGCCACAAGCGCTATCACAAGCGCATTGAAAAATAACTGCTTCCACACAAGCTTTAAAAATAGAAAAACTGGTTTGGCCGACTCGTTGAAGCTCCAGCTGGACTCCCAGAGCTGCGAGATGAAACGAAGGAATGCAAAAGGGCATTCAAATGAATGACAGTATCTGAGATGAAAATGGAAATTGTGTGATAGGATGAGCATTCAAATCGTAATGAATTGCCTGGCTAAGGGGCACAGTAACAGAAAGTTTAACAGCCACAGAGTAAATGCTTTGGAAATGACCGCTGGAAAGATAAAGGAACTACTGTATCCAACACCCGGCCGATGTAACAACTGCTGTTCGTTGTAGTTTTATGGCAGAAACTTTAGTTCAACTCAGAGCATCTGACTGAAACAGCAACCAAATATGCAACTAATACCGACATAATCCACATAATTGGCCATAACTGAGTGTCATAACTCAATGAATCACTCAAAGTGTTGCACATTTCAATCCTTGTATAAAATTCCAAAAGATTTAGATAATCTTCCAAAAGCAGGGCTTAATTTGTCGAGGTTAACAATGGCCATTGCACAATTTGG